TCTTAAAAGATAGAAAGACACATTTAGTAGCTTGATACCTTTCATTAGACCAAAACACATAGACATTTCTAGCAGTAATATTGTCTTACTATTAAAATTAAAAAATCCCAAATACTCTTTTTATGACAGTTCTTACCAACTAACAATAAAATGTGATGGATCCTACTCTGTATATGCATTACTTCTGAAGTAAATTACCCTGGAAACATTTTTTAAAAAGCAATATCACATTTTTCATCAGAATTTATTTCAATGCACACATGAACAAATAAAACAAACCATAACTGTCAAGTGATGTTTTAGAGATATCAAATTGGCAACTGTGATAAACTGATTGACAGTACAAAAGTATGAGTATAAGCAAATTTTGATTCTATTTCACTTTATACTATCATAATGTTAGTTATGGAGAATTTTACTTTTATGGTTATAAAGATGAAATTTGCTAGAAAAGCAAAATACATAAGGAATAGGAAAAATGTAAAAAGGTCATAGTGAACAATTTCCTTCAAAATAAGAATAGCAAGAGTTAAGATAATGAAGAAGTGATAAAATGTTACAAAAGCTTATTCATACAAGGACAAAAATAAGGAAGTAAGGGACTAAGAGCAACGGTAAGAATTTTAACACTCACCTAAGTGTTACTATGGTTATAGCAAGAGTACAGTTGAAGAGGTGGGGGGAATATCATAAAAAACTTCTGGAGTAGGACACCTCCACTCTGCGATGACTGCCTGAGACAACCTGGTCCTCCACTGAAGCTCTAATACGACTCCCTATTACTCGTCTACAATCTGAGCTTGTCATGGATAGTGCAGCTACTGGTAGGAGAAATGAGTTATTTACTTTTCCTTCTAGTATTACTACTGTATTTCTTCCCAAAACCTGGGTAGGGCTTTGATGCTGGAGGTGATACTAAAAAGTTCCAGCATCTCTGCCCATCTTCCATCTGTATGTTGAGAGGTGGTTATGAATTCCTCTAACATGAGCTTCAAGGGAGGTAAAATACATTGGGAAAGATGAGAAAAAAAGGAGATTAGAATCTAGGGGGATATGATGGTTTGTTTTTCTCACTCACCATAAATATGCTTTGTCAAAACTTCCCAGGTGCTGTACATTACTGACAATTTGAAAAGAGTGTATTTTTAATCAGCTCATGACAGATAAATATAAAAACCTGAATTTCTTATTACCAGAAAATAAGATTAGCCTAAGGTCATTGGTAATTCTCTGCAGCCATTTCTTGTGTGATAAATAGGCGTCTGCCATGCTCTCCATAGTGAATGAATGCAGATCCTGGTACCCTTTGCTTGGGGAGAAGATATTTTAGCTAAATCCTTTGAATTTGATGTTGCATTGGAGAAACAAGGGTTATTATAATGCTTGCCCTGCTCTATATATTATTAATTTGCTATATTGTGGGATTTTTGAGAACTACTCTATTGCTTAATTAGCAAGAATGTAGAATTTTCTTGTTCTTCGATAGAGTTAAACTAATTTTTGCTCTGGGTATCATTCAGCGAAGCTTATAGGCAATAAACTGTACACAACTCATGGGTAAGTTTCTGATCAGAGCAATGAGTTGAATTGCCCTTAGTATAATAAGGCTACTAGTAAAATAATAATAATGATAATGATGATAGTCTGATACAATGTATAACTATGTACCTGGCACTGTGCTGGACTCTTCCATTTATGATGTATGTCATTTATTTATAAACTATCCAGGAGTGCTGTGCTATTTTTAAAAATTCCAAACACTTGGACTACAACTTCATAGACTGTGAACATCTACATTGTTGTATGACTATTTTCCTATAGCTCTTATTTTATTTTGTATTATAATTATTTGAATGCTTAATTTGTATTCCATATTAAACTATATAATCTTCTTCAGTGTTATTCACCTTTGCTCTTATAGTGTATTTGCACTTGGTAGATAAATACTAAATATCTATTTGGTAAATGAATACAGTTTTTTCCTTATCCAAGTTCTCCAAATGATAAGAACATCAATGGAACAAAGTATTTCAAAGCCTTTAAACCCACAGACGTAATCAGTCATTCTAAATGAATAAGTAGCATGATAACCATGATAAGATAAACATTTCAACATTTTTATAAAGAAGCAAAAATTAAGAAACTACTGTGCTTACAGGAGTTAATTTGTTTTAAATGGCTACTAATTTAACAGATTAATTTTTCCATTACTGCGATTGTTACTACTTGCTCTCCTAATGGAACTTCCACAGTGCAAGTGTAATGTTTTATCCTACAGGTATTTGTATGCTGACTTTTGTTAGGCCTTTCATTAGGAGTAAATTTTAGACTGGCAGTTTCAAATTACCACCTGTAGTTTTAATGCTGAAATTTTCAAAGGTGTAATTAGGAGTTGGGGTGAGGGGGACCTCCAGTGTTCACAACACAAAATGTCAGTGCTATTAACAATTAAATGTAATAACATTTAAATAATGCACTTCCATTGACACCCAAAGAATAAAATGTAACCATCAGGATGGCATCTAGGTAGTAGATGATTTCACAGGAAAGTGCTCAGACCTCCATCAAGTTAAGAATCAATAGAACCTAGGCAACTGTGGTAGAGATCTTAGCTCATGAAAAACCCTTCTGTGCTGGAGCTATATTAAATTATCACAGCTAATGTAAAATCAACCTTGGTGTGAAAGATAAAAGGGTAAAGTTCTCACAAACGATCACTTATCACTCCATTCCGAAATGCATACAGCATTCATTATAGATCGAAATGCCACTCAAATTTCATCATTTAGTAGGGTTTTGAAACAGCCAAACCATTAACAGAAGAGAGTAGCTTTTATATTTATACAACCAGTGACTAATGAAACATTATACCCAGTGTGCAAAGGGGGAAAAACACTTTATTTTGTAATGAACCCAATTGGAGCCCTTTTTAAACATGGTGTAATATGGTTCCACTATTTCATCGAGCCTCTCATTACTTATGTCAATAATCCTAGCTAAACTACTGTTGAACTTCACAGCTTTATCTAGCAGCATGAATAGCATTAATCTATGGGGTGCTTTTGATGAATTGGAGTTCAAAAAGCAAAGCTAAAAATGACTTCTTACAAAGTGCTTGGAGAAGTATTTATTAGAAATATGTCAACTGCCAACAACCTAAAGATAGCTTGGCTATTCAGGAAATCATGCTGTTGGCTAACTTATAAACACTGCAACCTATGAATTTTCCCCACCTGAATTACTTTAAAAAAACACACAAATAACATGCTTTTCTTCTAAGTATATTATTTTTTTGGTCACTTTCCTTCTAATTCTCTATATTCACATATCGGATTGCTTTTGACACACTGTGACATGCTACACAACATGGCCCTAGGTTCTTAGAAACTGTTAGGTAAGAAAAGCACTTAGGAGGTTAAGAGTGAATGAGACAAGTAAGAAATACTTTACTTACATGACTGCATGATCTATAAACATTCTGGTAGCATGACCTGAAAGCTACTCTTGGATCCTGGGCTGAGGACCTAATTTGAATTCTTGTAACACCCAGTAGTAGTTATATTCTTTCCGGCAGTAAGGCTGGCAGGATTTGTCTACAGGGGCTTACCACATGCAATTCAAATTTATCAGTCTAATTTGATTAGGCTAATCTTTCACAAAGTTGAATTTTGCACTCTTTGTGAGATGCAAAAAATTAAACTCTTAGCTCTACTATTTTCAAGATGTTTATATGTGGACAGCCTATTCATTGTGAGCCTTTACTGTATTAAAAGTTGAGGGATTTTATACACTAAAACAATTTCAAAATAAGAAAATGATATTGACTTAGTATATTATTTTTTCTTTAACTTCGACCTTCATCATAACAAAATAAATACCTTGTAAAAATAACACAAATCAAATTAATTTTTCCCTAAAATTAAAACTCTTTAAAAAGAATTACACTTGATCCCTCAAATTCCTTTTTGAAAAGGTATAAAACTAACTCATGCTTCTTACAGTATTCTATAATTGGTCTTCATGGGAAAGATACTAAATAAACATACCATCCATGATTCCTAAGATACACTGAATTTACTACAGCATTGTGTTTTACAAAATGACATTTAGAATACTGTTATATTATATAGAATCTGATACTAGTTTCAGAAAAGTTTTTCTTAGTGAAATATATGAAAAAATATCACATCCTCTAATGGTTCTTTCTCTTGCAGATTCACAATGCACCCTGGCAATAAAATAGACTCTGAAAAGTACTGCAATAAAGAAACCAGCTTAATTTGATTTATTGCGGTATTTATCAATTTCACAACAGGTCATCTCCATCTGATGATTTGTTAAAGCTACCTTATGAACAACCCACTGTGGATTTTGGAGGTTGGGAAAAACAGAGATTCCCTTCATTGTTGGGTATTGGTATTTTTTTCAACCATTTTGTTATATTTACTGAAATTGTAAAATAAGTTCAGTCAAGAAAAAATGTCTGTAGAAGTTTTGTATTATTGTTCATAAGAAATTAATGCAGTTATCATTAATATTGCACAACTCTGTCTTTGCTGCATCTCAATGACATACTATCATTCTTTGTGAAACCAGTTATAGTGATTATTAAGCACATTTTTATGATAATACAAATGAAATTAGCATAAAGGAAACATAGTTTTCATTATTCTGAATTATAAATAAAAGCATTTATTTGTAAAATTTAAAGACAATCATTAATATAATTTACTAGTCACCACCAATAATTAAATAAATGTATTTGTAATAAAGAATGCTTTACATGCTTTATTTTTAGTGTATATTGTACGTTTATTTCATTTCTGGCTTGAAACATATTAATTGTAAATCTTAGCCATATTTATACGTATGAGAAGTCCTTCTGAAAGAAAAAGTAAACCTGCTTAATTTTGTTTATTATTCTAATGATTTTGATAAATGTTTACAGTTTTTCAGGTCACTCAGACTTTCACGTGCAATGTTTTCAAAAAGGTACTCACCATGTACAATGAGAACATACTCTGCGCTGCTTTGGCCGATGGTGTTGGTCGCTTCACATCGATATGTACCATTATCCGTTTTGTTCAGGAAAAGAATATTTAACTCCCTACCACTCACAACCATTCGGTCAGGATCTGGTAATTCTCCGCCATCCTTTGTCCACAAAACAGGTTCTGGCCTATTGGATTCAAACATGCATATAGACAGGGAAAATAAGAAACATTACATATTCTGTGAATTGAGTAAATCAAGCAATTTATAAATATTTGATACCTACTTTGTACATAATCATGCGCTAACTTCTGTATGGTACCAAAAGAATCATCATGCACTCACTCAGAAGAGTTGGAGGTATGGCAAATACAATTTAATTCTATTCTACTCAATTAAACAGATACGTATGAAGGAACTAATTTGCTGAGTCATTATGTCAGTCATTGCTGGTGCCCTGCCCAGGTCCTGTGGCCCAGGTCCTGTGACCCAGATCCTGCTGCTAATGGCTCCCACCTCACATTGGAGGACTGCCCTTGGGCTAAGGGAATAAGTCTTCCCCGAAGGTACCTGGAATTACACCTTTGTGCTTGGGGCTCCCACCAGGGCACAGCTTTGCCTGAAACCACCTGAAACTTTTGCCCTTACCTCTCCTGCTTATCTCATTTCTTTAAATGTTTTCCCCCAGGATTTTCATCTAATAAAATATTTGCAAAGAATAGCCATCTCAAAATATTTTAGGGAAGAAAGGATAAATAAACCATAGGTTCCTGTCTTCAAAGATTTCAAACTTTTATAATTATAAATGATAAGAATGATTATTAATAATATCTATCACAATGTGCTGATAATAGTAACTGTCCTAGGTGCTTTACATATATTTCCTAAAATCTTTACAGAACACTTCAATCCCCAAACTGACCAGCCACAAATAAATAAATAAATATATATATAAATACGTAAAAATTAAAGAACACTCCAATGAACATTTTTTTTTTTATTTACGGCATGGAAGAATATAGAAGATCTGAGAAATACTTAAACTGCTCTGTCTCCACAGAGGATGTTTCCTCCAGTACCTCCTGCTTTCTAACATGAATATTTTCCAAGTCTTTGTATAGAAAAATTTTCTAACTCAGGCTTGATTTTTTCACACAGTTGGAAGTTATTTTCTAAAAAGCTTTAATTATTTGTTTAATTAGGTAACAATTTTGAACTTGTATCCTGCTATTGGGTATAAAATTAGATCCCAGGTCTTGATTAACAATATCTATGATCATGGAATTCTTTCTGAAAAAAAAAAGGGGGGGGGGATAATTTTTTTTGACAACATTCTGTGAAAGGGATAAAAGTTATAAATAAATAATAACATATTCAAAAGAGTACCAAAACAAGCAGATTTTCAATCTGATGAAAGAATTGCTCAAGTGTTTAAATACTAAAAACATTTGGAGAGTGTGATATTGTAATATAATAAGAAACATATATATCTGCCCCCAGTTCCTGACACAGTGCTCCTGAAACTCTTTTAAATAGGGGCACTGGAAGAATTGTTTGTTCTAATATTTGGTCTTTGACCCCAGTTCCGGATACAGAGCTTCTATAACCTTTATATTTTCCCAAGTGATAGGAGCATCTGACACAGAGCTTCTAAATCCCTTGGACTTTCCTGGATGAGGGGAGCATCTCTTGTTCTAGTGAGATGATCCTATGAGATTATCTAATGAGATGCTCTGGGTGGGCTCCTGGATAGCCTCAGGATGGAGGCCATGTAATTAGAGGGTTCAAATTTTTAGTCCCAACCCCAAACCTCTAGGTCAGGGAGGGGCTGAAGGTTGAGTTGATTACCAATGACCAGTGATGTTATCAATCATGCCTATGTAATGAAGCCTGCATAAAAACCCAAAAGGACAGGCTTCAGAGAGATTCTGGGTTGTTGAACACAGAATTGCTGGAGGGTGGCATGCCCAGGGAGGGCACTGAATTTCCATGCCTTTGCCACATTCTTTGCCCTATCCATCTCTTCCATCTAGCTGTTCATTTGCACCCTTTGTAACAGCCTTTGTAATAAGTGAGTAAAAGTAAAGTGTTTTCATGAGTTCTGTGAACTGTCCTAGCAAATTAACCAAACCCAAGGACGGAATCATAGATACTGTGGTTTGTAGCACGTCAGTCAGAAGTAAAGGTGATAATCTACTACTTTTGATTGCTGTCTGAAATCAGGGCAGTCTTGTGGAACTGAACCTCTTGGTAGATAATATCAGATTGAATTGAATTATAGGACACTCAGCTGGTGTCACCAGAGAACTGATTGTTGACAGGGAAAAATTCCCACATTTATTTTGGTGACTAGAGGTGAACTGTGTAGTTAGTGTGTGAGAAGAAAGTAATAAACAGTTTGGATTTTTTTTTTTTATCTCTCCAGAGAGAGAGAGAGAGAGAGAGAGAGAGAGAGAGAGAGAGCACAAAGAAAGGAGGGAAATTTTTTCAGAACTGTCCCCATGGAATTTCCGAAAGAGCATTATAGGATAAAAAATAAAGAAACCAGGTATACAAAATATATTGGAAAAATGTAAAAATTTATATCACCCAGTTATATAGACAATTCACTCCCATAGGATCTTTAATAAAAGCCAAAGCATTACTATTTCTCACCTTGCATCATTTTATTCCACATTTGCTAATTACTATTTGAATTTACTTTTTCTTATTTTAAAAGTCTGGATAATCTTGTACCATGCACATCCTTAACGTTTCTTGAAGAGGCAAAACAGGTGAAATAAAACTATGACTTGTAGCATAACAAATAGTAAAGGTTTTGTTTTTCTACAAAGCCACATAAGACCAATATTAAAATTGCAATTATATTAAATATAATTTGAATTTTAGAACATTCATCTTTATAATACGACTCAAAGGAAGTATTTTATTATAAGAGGCAATGTTTTCTTGATGAGTTAGTTGGAATTTTAAATCACACATGGATATAATTATATGCATGTATCTACACATTCATATGCACTCAAAATCAACCTCCCAAATTCAAACTGTCATGATTTTTTTCTACTTGTGTTCATAAGCTTTCCATCAAATCTTAAAGCATACGGCTCTGTAAATATGTAATTAAATCTAGATATATATTTGTAAATTATTTGTATGTAGTTAAACGTCTATATAAATTACTCAGGTTGTCAGTCTGAATTTATAAATATTTTTTCTAAAAAACAAAAAAAAAATCTCTCTTTTAGGAATTTTTTTTTTTTTAAAAAACATCTGCAACAGTGGTTAACAGGAGTGGGTAACTGTATAAGTCTCTGCTGATATGGAATTGAATCCTTCAAGGATTCTTGATCCTACTCTGTGGTAAATCATCAAGGTGGCAAAAGAGTCAGCACCATAAGATGAAATTTTAATGAAATAGAGGTTAGAGTTTATGCATAGATTAAAAACAGCCTACATATTCCCAATTAGTATTTAAAATGTTCAAGCTTCTTAATATCACCATAAAAATATTAAGTGGTTTAGCAAGTCCTGATATAATTTGTGTTTCATCTTAATAAAGAGGGCCTCTAGGCTTTCTCTAATTGGAACCCAGAAAAGATTGAGTTTCTTGCTTCAAACGAATAACAATCTTTCCTGCTGTTCAGGCATCCAAAGGAGATCATTTTAAATGTAGTTTCAGTCCACAGTTTCTACGTGTTAAGGCAGAAAAAGAGTAGGAGCTAGACACCAGGAGTAACAGAATAGTAAAGGCATCAGAAATAAGATAACATTGCACAACTCCACAATGTGAATATGAATACAATCAATTCAGAAGGTTCCCCCTTCAAAAGCCCAAATAATTAGAAGTTGGAAATCTACATGAGATGAAACTTGGTTTTCTTTCTGTCTATCAAATCTATAAAGCTAAAAAGATGTTTTATTTTTCTGTGCACCTAGAGACATTTTTCCAACAGTTTCTTCCTAGAGCAACAGAAAAGAACAATAAAAGAAAAGTGAAAAGAGAAACCAAATATGCTTATGCATTTATTGTCATACATTCTAAGGCATTGGTGAAGTTGGTTTTAATCTTAAGAGGTTTCTAAAAAAATTATTAACTGAGTGTTTTATTTTGTATATATAAGAGTTTCTCCAGTATCTTTCACAACTCATTATTTATAAATTAGTGTTGGAAGGAATTGCCACAACTCTCTTAGATCACCAGTTTATTTAATATCTTGAACCAGATACAAACCTGATTACTAATTTACACTGAAACTCTTTAGCTATCGTTGGGACATTTATGCCACGGTTACCTGTCCCTCTAATCGTCCCAGCTATATATGGGATCATTTACTCCCTAGGTACTGATGAGAATGAAATCCTTCTTTGCCTCCATAGCTCTCATCCTCTCTTTTAGGATCATGCTTGGGAGGAAGAATAAAGAATAAGCAGTGAAGTTATGGAAAAGCGAGTCCCATAATGCAGCTCTCCTAGGAAAATAGCTTCCTGCTGTTCTTGCAGAAGTGGAGTAAATTAATTGCTACAAAAAATTTGGAATACTTTCCAATCTCTCCCTTTTCTTAAATGATATCCCCTTTGGGTTCTGTATTGTCTTTTCCTTTATAAGCTCAGTATATGTTGGGCCACAGAACTAAAATTAATCTTATAAAAATTAAATTTACTTTTTCTAGATGAAAGAAAAAAATGTGTCACTATAATAGCATTCAAATAAATATCGTTTTCTGGCTCAAAAAAGGAAATATGCAAATAATTATATTTTACATTTCCTTTAATTTAGGAAAAAGCAGGAACTTATTATTAGTAACTTTGTGTCTTATGTACCATGTGACCACATAATGATGCCTACTGGCTTTATTTAAGTTCAGAAATTCCACAGGTGGATAGTAGGTGATTACAGTTTTAATACCAGGGAGATTTTTATAAACCTAATCCCTTTCTCTTTCCTGTGATATTTTCACTGGAAAGTGAAAGAAGGTGATATGAGTTACATAAACATCATGATCCTTTTTCTGCTTTAAGCAAAGATTTTTAAATCAAAAAATTATACTGAAGAGTTTATGCATAAAACTCTCAGTGTTTACACTATCAAATTTTTAGAGAAATGGAAGGATAGAAATGAAATGTAAATTGATTTACAAATGGATTTGACATTGGTTTCAGCAGAACTTTTAAGTTTTTTGGGTT